GGGTGAGCGGAAAGGGGTGAACGAGTGTCAGATTAGTATTAACACCACACTACTTAAGTGGTCACTTTTTATAGTACATGCTTTGTCTTGGTGGTCAGAAAGAAGCTCGTTAGAAAGACGGCATCCTGTGCTGTCTAAAATATGTTGAGATTAGGCTGTACGATCATCTCTGTTACAACCATCCGCAATTAATATGTTCCAATTGAAAACTTATTTCAGAATTCCGGCAGCTATTGCATGAGATAGTGAATCTACTGTAGTAAAGCAAAGCATGCCTACTGCTACGAACCACGTAGACAGTTATGCGACAGAGAAGTTGTAGTGAGTTCTCAATTTAACTGTCACTAAAAGGAGTTCTGGCAGTGGCGAACGAGTGTGCCTCACCTTGCCACGCTACGATTAGTCAAGTGCTCCCACTTCGGCAGGAAGTCGAGGGACTTCTCCGCGGACGGCGGCTCAATGCAGAGCTTGGCTAGGTCGTTCTTGAAGGCAGCCACTCGGGCTGTGTAGTTGCAAGACCCGTCGGTGAGGGTCAGGGCTTCCGCCGATTGCGGAGCCAAAACAAGCATTGACCAGGTGACAGTGCACTTCTGGCTCTGACCGCTTGGAGTTCTGCTCAGCAGGGTGAGTTCAAGGCTTTCAACCTAGGGAGAAATAAGAAGAAATAATGATTATTCCGGCAGTGCAGTTGTATAGTAGTTAGGGCACTTCTCATGCCACAGAAGAACTTCTGCTGTACTTTCTATCCACCGCTCTTTCCTGAAGCTCAAAACGAAAAAGGACGGAGGAAGCTGTTAATTACCACTTCTGCAGCGAAAGGTGCCTGCCAAATGTCACCGAACAAAAGCAAGGCCTAAGAATCACCATTTTTCATTCCCCCAAGCCCTCCTCTCATTGTGTCAGGTCGGCCAACAAATCAACCGGGCTTCTGTTCGCCAGCAGAAGAACTTTCATAGACATAGATAAGGAGCTATTTGGAAAGGCAAACGGAGCCTTTATTCGTTCGCAATTGGAATATGGAATCAAGGCGTAGCGTGGCACCCCTGACTGAAAAAAAGGACACTATAAGTCACTGGAAAAGACTCAAAAAAGAAGGGCGGAAAGCGTGAAATGCTTAAATGCGTTATCATACGAATGCTGACATAATCTGCACTTAATCTGTTTTACCCTGAGAACAGGCAGACCAGGAGAGATCTCACACAGACCTACCGCATTGTGCGGAACCAGTGCTGCGCTCTGTATTGATCTCTAAAACCAAGCTACGTGGGAGCTCCCTCAAACTCAGAGGAGCGTTATCACACCCAGATAGTGGTTTTTGAAGCGATTGTTGGGTGCCTGGAACGGACTTCCCGAGGATGTTGAAACCGCGGACTCGCCAGCGACATTGAAAGATAAACTGGATGTATATTTCCTTGAAAGATACCGTTCAACCGGTTAGAAAAACACCTTTATACAAAAACAAAAAAATTAACATAGCTACAGATAATGATGATATCTATTTATTTCAGATAATCCTTGATCCTCAGAGGGAGGAGGTTCCGTGCTTGAATCCCCAAAGCAAGTTAAATGTGTTTGTTACTCCCTATCTTATAGTAACGTACTTATTTTAAGGAAAACATCGTGCTGTTTTAATATAGTTAAAACAGGCAGTGCCTTTTATCCTTAAATATACTGCAATA